TGTCTGGCTTCTATTTCTACAAGCTGCCCTGGTGCAGCTCTAGATTTTGGTGGACGATCATGCAGGTTTTATTGCAGTTTGTGTGTGTGTTGTTTGTTTCTTTTAAGTAGCCCAACTTCACTTTCAGTAGCCCCGGAGCTGGGTTTCTGTCCCCTCCCCGCCCGCTCTGGCCGCTGTCTCTCTGCTGCAGCGTGCCGGCCAGGCGGCTATTCGGTGGCCATCTGCTCGATGTGGTCGCTGAGCAGCTTGTATTGCTCTGCAGAGGAGAGAGGAAAGGGCGCTGGGAGGGTGCCGGAGCATCCCCACCAGGCTCCATCCCTCCGGGACCCCTCAAAGGGGTGCATCCCCCAGGCTCCCCCCTACCTTCATCCAAATTGCCGATGGTCGCTTGCTTCTTCAAGAAGTCACTGCAGAGCTTCTTGTTGAGGCCGAACGCCAGCATGTTGTGGATGAAGGTGCTGAGGAAGGACAGAGATGCTCTTGGTGAAGAGCCAGGCTGCGCTTTCTTCCCCCCACCCTCCTCTTCCTCCCCTTGTCACCGGGATGATGCTCGGCTCTGGGAGAGCATGCCAGGTCCCCGCAGTGCCCGGATTTGTAAGGGGCAGGAGCAGGTCCTGGGGAGAAGCATCAAGCATCCTCTGCACCATAAGGGATGTCCCCAGTGGGGGAACATCTGTAAGGTGTCCCCCCCACATCTGGCAAGGACACAGCGCAGAGCCCAGCTGCAGGAGGGACGGTCCCCGCGCCCCGCTCACCCCAGCTGCCCGAAGGTGATGTTCTCATTGAAGCGCAGGCTGTCAGGCAGGAGCAGGTCCTGGGGAGAAGCATCAAGCATCCTCTGCACCATAAGGGATGTCCCCAGTGGGGGAACATCTGTAAGGTGTCCCCCCCACATCTGGCAAGGACACAGCGCAGAGCCCAGCTGCAGGAGGGACGGTCCCCGCGCCCCGCTCACCCCAGCTGCCCGAAGGTGATGTTCTCATTGAAGCGCAGGCTGTCATCGCGCTCCTCCTGCGTCATGTGGCACCACTTCTCCCTGCAAGGCACAAGCGCGTCCGGCCCCCCCGTCACCCCGGGACCCCCTGCCTG